TAGGCCTGGGGGTTGTAACAGCTGTGGTGACTTCTGTTGTAGGCATCGGAGTTGTTTCATCTGTGGTGACTTCAGTTGTAGGCATGGGAGTTGTTACAGCTGTGGTGACTTCAGTTGTAGGCTTTGGAGTTGTTACAGCTGTGGTGACTTCTGTTGTAGGCATAGGAGTTGTTACAGCCGTGGTGACTTCAGTTGTAGGCATAGGAGTTGTTACAGCTGTGGTGACTTCAGTTGTAGGCATAGGAGTTGTTACAGCTGTGGTGACTTCTGTTGTAGGCATAGGAGTTGTTACAACTGTGGTGACTTCAGTTGTAGGCATAGGAGTTGTTTCAGCTGTGGTGACTTCAGTTGTAAGCATAGGAGTTGTTACAGCCGTGCTGACTTCAGTTGTAGGCATAGGAGTTGTTACAGCCGTGGTGACTTCAGTTGTAAGCATAGGAGTTGTTACAGCTGTGGTGACTTCAGTTGTAGGCATAGGAGTCGTTATAGCCGTGGTGACTTCAGTTGTAGCCATCGGAGTAGTTTTAGCTGTGGTGACTTCAGTTGTAGGCATAGGAGTTGTTACAGTTGTGGTGACTTCAGTTGTAGGCTTAGGAGTTGTTGCAGCTGTGGTGAATTCAGTTGTAGGCATAGGAGTTGCTACCGCTGTGGTGATCTCTGTTGTAGGCATCGGAGTTGTTTCAGCTGTGGTGACTTCAGTTGTAGCCATTGGAGTTGTTACATCTGTGGTGACTTCTGTTGTAGGCATAGGAGTTGTTTCAGCTGTGGTGACTTCTGTTGTAGGCATAGGAGTTGTTTCAGCCGTGGTGACTTCTGTTGTAGGCATAGGAGTTGTTACAGCTGTGGTGACTTCTGTTGTAGGCATAGGAGTTGTTTCAGCCGTGGTGACTTCTGTTGTAGGCATAGGAGTTGTTACAGCTGTGGTGACTTTTGTTGTAGGCATAGGAGTTGTTACAGCTTTGGTGACTTTTGTTGTAGGCATAGGAGTTGTTACAGCCGTGGTGACTACAGTTGTAGGCAAAGGATTTATTTCAGCTGTGGTGACTTCTGTTGTAGGCATAGGAGTTGTTTCAGCCGTGGTGACTTCAGTTGTACGCATAGGAGTTGTTACAGCTGTGGTGACTTCAGTTGTAGGCATAGGAGTTGTTACAGCTGTGGTGACTTCAGTTGTAGGCATCGGAGTTGTTTCAGCTGTGGTGACTTTAGTTGTGGGTATAGGAGTTGTTACAGCTGTGGTGACCTTAGTTGTTGGCGTCTGAGTTGTTACTACAGTGGTGACCTCAGGTGTAGGTGAGGGTGTTGTTTGTATTGTGGTTGGATCAGTGGTAGTTTTTAGTGTCGTTGATATTGTGGTTGAATCAGTTGTATGTTCGGTTGTTGCTTTTGTTGTGGAATCAGTTGTGAATACAGGTGTTGTTTTTCGTGTAGTGGAATCAGTTGTGAGTTTAGGTGTTGTAGGGTTCTTGGTTGTTGGTATTGTTGTTTTTTCTAATCCAAGGAAGAAAACACATCTTGAAGTTAACCCAGGAAACAATGGGTTTGCTTTGTATTATAATATTATAAATGTATGAGTGTTATAATGAATGAATGAATGAATGAATGAATGAATGAATGAATGAATGAATGACGATCTTTATGACATGCTGTCTTAAGTACAGGTCACAAAAAATTTGATGATCAGATACATTAACAGATCTATACAAAATATCTTTAACTTATTCAGCAACACATATGAATTTATGTATTTATACATACATACATAGAGAAAAAGAGGAAGTGATAGTTAAGTTATAGTTATTAACATACCATGTACATCCATATCATATATAACTTACCATTAGTTGTAGGGTTAGTTGTTGGTTGTGTTGTTTGTATTGTTGTACGATGAGTTGTAGGATTCTTGGTTGCAATTGTTGGTATTGTTGTCTTTCCTAATGCAAGGAAGAAAACACATCTTGAAATTAACGCACAAAACCATGCGTTTGCTTTGTACTGTGTTATTATGAATATGAGAGAGTGTTATAATGAATAAATGTATGAATGAATGAATGAATAGCGATCTTATATTATTATAATTAATTGTACATTTATGCCATACTGGGCTAAGTACAGGTCACAAAAATTTGATGATCAGATACATTAACAGATCTATACAAAATATCTTTACATAAATAACTTATTCGTCACATAATAGTGTCACTGCTGTAGGGTCAGTAACATATATGAAGTTATGTATTTATACATATGTATATACATACATAGATAAAAGAGAGTGATAGTTAAGTTATATATAGTAATTAACACACCATGTACATCTATATCATATATAACTTACCATTAGTTGTAGGGTTAGTTGTTGGTTGTGTTGTTTGCATTGTTGTACGATGAGTTGTAGGGTTTTTGGTTGTTGGTATTGTTGTCTTTCCTAATGCAAGGAAGAAAACACATCTTGAAATTAACACACAAAACAATGCGTTTGCTTTGTACTGTGTTATTATAAATGTGAGAGAGTGTTATAATTAATAAATGTATGAATGAATGAATGAATGGCGATCTTAATTGTACATTTATGTTTACAATAATTGTACATTTCTGGGCTAAGTACAGGTCACAAAAAAACTTGATGATCAGATACATTAACAGATCTATACAAAATGTCTTTACATAAATAACTTATTCGTCACATAATAGTGTCATTGCTGTAGGGTCAGTAACATCTATGAAGTTATGTATTTATACATATGTATATACATACATAGATGAAATAGAGTGATAGTTAAGTTATATATTAACACGCCATGTACATCCATATCATATGTAACTTACCATTAGTTGTAAGTACTGTTGTTTGTATTGTTGTTTGTTTTGTTGTACCATGAGTTGTAGGGTTCTTGGTTGTTGGTATTGTTGTCTTTCCTAATGCAAGGAAGAAAACACATCTTGAAATTAACGCACAAAACAATGATAATCAGATACATTGAACAGATCTATACAAAATATCTTTACATAAATGACTTATTGTGACATATAATAGTGTCATTGATGTAGGGGCAACAATATATATGAATTTATGTATTTATACATACATACATACATACATACATAGAGAAAAAGAGAGAGTGATTGTTATAGTTATTAACATACCATGTACATCCATATCATATATAACTTACCATTAGTTGTAAGTACTGTTGTTTGTATTGTTGTTTGTTTTGTTGTACGATGAGTTGTAGGATTCTTGGTTGTTGGTATTGTTGTCTTTCCTAATGCAAGGAAGAAAACACATCTTGAAATTAACGCACTAAACAATCATCATCATCATCTGGCGGCTGCGTTAGAGCAGACGACTGTGAGTTCCCTCCAGTTAGTCCTGTTCTGGGCGATATCAGCAATACGCTTCGGGGAAAGGTCTGAGTTGTTGTCGCCTAACAACCGTTGGATGTACTGTAGGTAGGTGGTGGGTTGGCGACCACGTCTCCTTCTATCATGAGGTGGCACGTAAAGTGCGTAGAGCCTGGCTGGTTCTTCCTCAGGCATTCGCAGAATGTGACCCAGAAATTTCAGCTGCCTCCTATGCACCTGTTCCATCAGAGGTTTGGTGTTCGTCATCTCGTAAATGCTACTGTTGGATACGCGATCAAGCCTTTTAATATTCAGCATGATGCGGTAGCACGAGGTTGCAAATGAATTGATTTTTAAACAATGATGAGCAGATACATTGAACACATCTATACAAAATATATTTACATAAATAACTTATTGTGACATATAGTAGTGTCATTGATGTAGGCGCAACAACATATATGAATTTATGCATATTGATGGTTATAGTTATTAACAGGGCCCTAGCCATCACCCGTTTTTCGTTAATTGCAGGAACTTTGTGAGGTGTGACAGAAAAAATATAAAACCAATCCGTCAATCTTTGTTGGACAAATTGACTAAAATTTGGATAAAAATATAAAAACATCCAAAGGACCACAAAAACAACTACTCTCAACACTATGATTTGCCTCTCAAAGTGTGAGAAATTGCATTTTTAAAGGCTTGGAAATCCAAAATTTGTTCCCAGACCCTAGATTACAAGAACTCTTCCACCAGGTCCAATCATACTGATAGGCTGATGGAAAGAAAATTAGCTGGCTAGAGCCCTGGCTATTAACATACCATGTAAATCCATATCATATATAACTTACCATTAGTTGTAGGTCGTGTTGTCTGCATTGTTGTAAAATGAGTTGTAGGTTTCTTGGTTGTTGGAATCGTTGTAAACTGCATCGTCGGTACTAGAGATACAACGGTAACAACTGCATTGTAATTTGATATTACTGATAACAGCCTAGAATAAGCTATGAAAACTTACCTGTAGAAACTGAATCTGTTTGCGCACAAAATGTAGAGGGCACCATTTGCAAGCAAATGCAGATAATTCTCTCCCATTCCAAATTGTTGGTAATAACTTTCTGAATATACTATAGAATCTAGTGATTTACTTCTTACACCTCCGGTAGTGCTTCTCATTTGGTTATTACGTTTCGATGCCTGTCAGGCATCTTCATTTATTTCAACTTTATTTACATATAATTAAATGTAAAAACGGCCAGGCCAGGGAAACAGACCTAAGAATCCCTTTTTAACTCCCTGACCACAGTTAGGAGACAGTCCGTTTCAAAATAAACAATGATTCTACTAATTGTGACAAAAATGCTAATAACAATACTTAATATTAATACAAATATTAACAATGAGATAATAAAGTTATACAAAATAATATAGTAATGTATGATAATAAAGAGACACAAAGACTTAAATGATCAAATAAGTAACAAATCACTAGTCAGATTTAGACCAAAAACAATAATTGAAACAACAATTGAGACAATTGAAACAATGATTGAAACAATAATTAAACAATATTTGAAACAATAATTGAAACAATACCAATAGTAAGTCCAAATAATAATGATAACAATTTGAAAAAAATGTGAAAAAGAATGAATGAATGACGGATTTAAGACAAGGGACAATTTTGGCATTGGCAGTGGGATATGTAGATGTTATCTTCCATAGAATCTTCTAACTGGAGTACAGCTTTTGCCACGAGAACAAAATTCCAAACTTACCATTAGTTGTAGGGCGATTTGTTCGAAATGGAGTTGTACTGTGAGTTGTTTGTTCTGTTCCGTGCGAGGTTGCTGTCGGTACTAGAGGAACAATGGTAACAAATGCATTGTAATTTTATATTACTTATAATGTCATAGAATGCGTTGATATTAAGGTTCGTACCTGAACTTTTGTTTTTATGGAAACATTTAGCATCAAATCCATCTAGGGCAAACCCAGTCTAATCCTTGCATATTGACTGAAATTGGAGGCTACTCTCTTGAGCCTGATACAGCAAAGAACTAATGTAGTTCAGAAGAACAAAAAAAAATTCAGCCAAAGGCATGTTAAACCCGTTATTAGGGATTAAGTTAAATGGGGATTTTTTTCCCCCAAGGAACAACAAAGTACGTGTCTGTATCTTAAAAGAAGATACCGACGTTGCAGACTTTTCGGGGCTAAGTTAGTTCTATTGTCACAGGATCAGAACTCGATCTAAGTATTTCAGAAGAGCTAAATCCCATACATTCACTCATGTTAGTATCAAGGTTAGGGTTACTATCCAGTATCAACTTCAATTGGAGGATTTTCTGACTCTAAGACGACAATCCTATGATTTAGCAAAGCCCAGCAAAACCACGTTTTCATATCTACGTGTTTGAAGATGCGTGGATTCTTTCCAACTTACATGTACCTTAAAATGGTAAATAATTGACATGGCGTAATCATGAATTGGGAGCATTTGGGGGATTTTCTCTGCCTACTACACGTATCTTTCTATCTTGACATTCAAGCATTCAAAATCATGTATGTATGTATGTATGAGTGTGTGACTGTGTATCAGTGTATTTCTATTTACATTCCTATACCTTCATGTAAGATCTTCTACAGTATGTTAAGTACAGGTTACGCTACCTGCACTTGTTAAGCCGTAATCATGGCCTTGGGGCAATCGAAAAGGCCATGTAAAGGCGTCGGCTTGCCTTATGTGTGCATTTTAGTGGTGTCTTTGTGTGTGGTTACGTGTGTTTTATGCGCGTGTGTGTGTATGTGTACGTGCGTAAGTACTATGTTTTTCACACGTTAACGTAGGCTTCGTAATAGTATACTGAATACTGTGCTAACAATAGCCACACACACACACACAATACCAGCAGTTGCAATGCTATAATTACAGCTTCAGGCGATGTAAGGTCATGACAAGACGTGTCGCCTGTACCCTTCTTCGTGTGTCGCACCACAAAATACATGTATATCCCCCCTCCCCACAAGAACCCAAACTAGTCGTTACCTTAGCTTACGGCACAACTCAAGAAAGACCATCTTGTGTCAGCGGCAAAAAAAGGCTGAAGATATAGTTGTTGTTTTTTTCATTCTGGTGACACGAAAAACAATCTAGCTTGACCCCTTTAATGACCTTGAAAGTTAATTATCCATACCTCGATTGCTGCTTTCTTTTGCCCACTTGATTATTAATTCGTTGTTTTACATGACGTAGACCTAATTGCTGGAAAATCTGCATCATACCACCTTAGGGGTTACACCAAGGTCTCTAGAATTGACTGGAAATGCTGTTTGTAAGCCTACAGGCTTTGATCATGTGTTGGGTGGGGCTACTACGCGGCATATTGAAAACCCAACCTACAACAACAACAACGATTTCCAACACATGTCCCCATACCGTGTAGGTCTACATATATCTGTAATGCGAGTAGAAATTTTGGACAGCCATATCTGGGAAAAATCTTAAGCAAATATGACATAAAATTCAGAATCTTTGGCTACGGCCTAAAAAAGCAGTTCACCTTTTAGACGGAAGTGATCGGCAAAAAAGTTATTTGCCACTTTCGTCACGAAATATTGCAGTAGGCCCAGAGACGTTGCTATTACACGTTGATAGACAGGAGAGAAGACGTATATGCGTCAATCGAGACGTAGTTTGGAGTCTATATTGTTTATAAATCTGCACCGACCCTATTCTCAAACATATGAGTACAAGTAATCAAGTTCAAAAATGGAAAATGGATATTAAAATACGTGTACCTTGAGCATAAACTACTTCAAGAATCCAGAAGAAAGCCGTAATCCACACGAAACGCATGGTGAACCACACCGGTTGGTACCAGCCACGTAACCGGGAAAATCCGTTGTGAAGAGCGGGGATACTATACTACAATGTTACGCTACTTCCTCGTCGGACCAGGCGAGACGTGACACGTCGCGTAGCACCGCCCAAAGCTTACTCACTTGTAAGGACACTGGCTTATTATCT